TCCACCAGAATCCAGAGGGAAAAACCTCGGGATGGGGCTGAGAAAAGCCAAATCAAGGTGGTTTTTCGATGTCATCCCCACGTTCTTCGCTCCAGGAAGAGACTCCAAGGTCAACTCGGAGCCGGAGTTCGGGGACCGGGAAGGAGGGTTGGCCCCGATGGGTCAGACCTGGGGCATCCAAACTCTCCTCTTGGCAGCACTTGGGGATGGAAAAGCCATTTTTCTCTTCCTTCCAGGCACTGGCAACGTTCTCCTTTTCCAGAGGTTTTTTTTACGGGCTTCTCTTCCGCCGCTACGGGGAATATTCGGGACATCCCGCTGCCCTGGAGGTGGAATTCCAGCACCCACGGGGAAAAAGGCAGGGCAGAGCATTCCTGGTTTCCCTCCTCTGGATGCAGCATCCCCAGGAGATGCCAGTTGGGAGCCAAACCTTCAGCTCAGAGCCCACCGTGGGCAATAAATTTTCCATTTACGAGCTCTTGGAGAGATGATGGATTGGAGCTGTTAAAGCCCCAAAACCTGAGCAATTCCTCTGGAGAAGGAAAACCAAACACCTGGAGCACAGCTATGGTTTGGTTCTTTCCTTAAAGGAGAAAAAAAAAAATCAAAATAATTTAAAAATAAAGAGCCTTTTTTCACCCCAGGCACTCAGGGCTTGGCATCTCCCCGAAGTTCGGGTGTTCCACAGATCCCAGCTCAGCCATTCCTGGGTTATGGCACTTGGATGGTGTTATTTTTCCACCTGAATCCTTCCTTAATCTCCGTATTTTCTCCTGAATCCTCCCAGGATCCTTTTCTGCAGTAATTTATACCAATGCACACTACTTAGAAAGCCTGTTTTCCTCTAAATTCGCAGCATTTCAGAATTCTTGGATCCCTCCCAGCATTTCTAGGGCTTGCAGGGGAAGAGGAAGAACCAAAATCTTGCTGTTACCAAGCATTCCTGTTCAGAAAAACAGCAAAACCAAGGCCTAAAACTACTCCAATTAACAGTTCAAATGTAATTATTTGGAAAAACAAACAAAAAAAAAGTTAAATCCAGAGAAAATTCTCTTTTGAAAGGAGATCAGATTTGGGGTAAAAACTGGGTGACAGAATCCCTCTGAATTCTTTCCACTTCGGGGAAAGAAGGAGAAAAAATAAAAATAAAAATA